AACTCTATATAAGAGAGAATGCATCTGAAGCAAAGTTTGAGGGATGGAAATTAAAGAATGTATTTTGTTCTTAGCTTGAGGGGACTGATCCCAAGGGTAAATGAAGCCCACTTAAAGTCTCTTGTTTATCTGTTGTAATCTCTCTAGATCTTTGAAATTAAGATTCATAAAAATCTTTACTTCACCAAGATCAAGCATTTTACAAATACTTTGGTGAAGGAGTGGTCCCCTCTGATGCATAATATCTTCTTGACTGCAAGGTTTGCTTTTGTCCTCTAAGTCTCAGCTTCAATGCCATCTTTTCTGAAGAAGGTCACCTGACATATTCTGTCACACAACCTGGTTTATGATGTTCCAGGATTTATTACCTATAATTATTTTATTTATTTGTTTACCTTCTGTCTTCCATATGAGAATAATCTCCACGAAGGCAGAAACCATGTTTTTCTTTGGAGAATCAATAAATGAGTTAAAAAATGAATGAATGAGGGCTGGTTCTTGATGAATAGGACGGGAGGGATACACTTACTTCTTTGAAGGAAGCTTAAAAACTTTTATAGAGCCTTATACAGAAAAGTATACTCATATTTTGTGTTACTTTTACTACATTGCTCATTTGAGGCTGACTAATGTTGCCATTTTAAATTTTAGATAAGTTAATTTTCATCTCATCTACTCTGTCCCCTTTGGGCCAGGCTATGCATTTTATACTTCTGTACTCCCAAGACCTAGCACTAACACATTGGTTTCAATAATATAGAATAAGGAAACAAGCAGAAAAACAAAGTTAAAAAAAACCATTGATGTTCATTTAGGGCAACCATTGGTGTATTAATGCAATAGGAGCAGGATGTCATGGAACATACATACCTGTAAGCCCAGTGATTTGGGAGGCTGAGGCAGGAAGATCACAAGTTTAAGGACAGCCTCAGCAACTTAGCAAGACCCTAAGCAACTTAGAGAGACTCTGTCTCAAAATAAAAAGGGCTGGGGTTGTAGATCAGTAGTAAAGTGCCCCTGGGTTTAATCCCCAGAATAAACATAAATAAATAGAAGAATGCAATTCTCATTGTTCATAAACATTGACTGGGTTATAATAATTTTTAGAAAATAGATTATAAAATAGCATACTTGAACAAGTAATGCTAATATACACTGTATTTTAAATCATGTAAATTATATATGATGATAATCCTGAGTCTACTTTTAAAAAGTACTCAAACTGCTTGAGGGTGATATTTATTAGACATAAATTTACTAGTAGTAGAACTAAGATTAATGTAAACTGACCCCACATTGGGTCCAAAGTTTTCTGAATATGCTCATTGGTGAGTATGTACTTTCCTGGGTCTAAGGAGAAAATCTCAGGCAGAGGAAGCATCACATACCTGAGTTTATGACCCACTCCATTAATCCATTCTTGTAACAAGGACCATCATAATGTGATTTTTTTCTTTGATTCTCAAAGAAACATATACTAGCTTTAGAAAGTCTGGAAAGTGTAATTGGGAGTGAAAAATTAGGAAAAAAATAAACCCATACAAATAATTCCATACCCAGAGACAAAAACTGTTTATGTGTTAATGTTGTATAGTGCAATACCCAAGTATTTCTTTCTATATGGCATAGTGCGACTATAAAGTTTACGCTTGCACTTGTCAATTTTATATGATTTTTATCAATACTATTTATTATAAATGCCTACTATATACAGGGTTCTGTGTTAATTTTCTTTTATTTTCTAAAGTACTTTGATAAAAATTCTCAGCTATCAATATTCAAAGATATTCAATTATTACAAAAAATCACAAAACATGCTTTTAAATCCTCAAAAGCACATATTATTATATCAGTTGCCATGTAAAGGATTATCTCATATTGTTAAGTAACTTGAAAAATCTATTTTTGATAGCTGTATTTGTCCTCCTAGTGATGAGAAGACAACATTGTCACCCTGTTTTTGAATTCTTGTGTTGGAAGAATCTAACATTTAATATCAGAGACTGTGAAGATACAGCAAAAGTAAATCTACCAAGCTGTCACTTAGCAAATACCCCAAAATTCTGAAACCATTACCTTAGGGGTATGCTCCTTGAATTATATTAAGATATTTCTTCATTTTTGTATGGAGATGTTTTAAAAAGTAAATCTGATTCTCAAAAAAAAAAAAAAAAAAAAGGAAAACCTGATGTTGCTGTTGCTGTCTTTATTTGATAATCATAATAGTCTTTTCCATAATCCAGAGTAGGAAGAAGACTAAAAGATTTTCCCTAAGTCACCCAGTTTAAGACTATGTCTTCACACATGTCTGGTTCACTTCTTCAACCAAATAGTCCAGTCTGCTGACTCTGCTGACTAATAACCAGATTCAGAAAATACTAGAACCACAGATTTATGCCCAGTAGAGGAGGGGAGTACTTTTGGGAAATTAAGGCCTAAAGTAGTTAAATCCCTTGCTCAAGATCATACAATTTGTATATAGTAGGGAACACGTTAGATCATAGGCCTTCTGATTTGAAAATTTGAGTGATTTCCCACATTTTGCAGCTAATATCAGGAGATATTTTTTCAATTCACTTGAAACTAATTGCATGTGTATTTATATTTTGATTAGAGGTTGTAAGTCTAAATAACGAGTATTTAGAATTTTAGGCTTTCATGTTACTGGAGAACTTCTGATCCAATAGTCATTCTGTTAATGAATATTACTTAAAGTAAATCATGCTTCAAAGTTAAGGAGTGTTACTTAAGTTTTTTAAAAAGATTAAAAAAAAATTTTTCCATGGATGACTTTATTTAAGTCAAAGGAGAAGCTGATGTTTCTTGTTCCAAAACCATAAAAGTCATGTCATTTTAAAATCATTAGTAAACTTTAAATATTTTTATTTCTAAAGTTAAAGTGCTTCCATATAGTGAATGATTAAAATTTTTATTCAGCTTTTCTAAAAGGAAATTTTATAAGTGATAGGGGAAGCTCTGTAAATTTTTATAGTCTATAACTTTTGTTTTTTTAACTTTTAAAAACCTCTGCTCAGGTATAATTAGTTAAAAAGAGGGTTGCTTCTGCCTTGTACAAACAGAGGATTTTTTTGAGTCTACACAAAGATGTTTGGAGGCAACTGCTGTTAATATTGAGTCTCACTTTCCCTGCACAGTAGAGATTGGTGGGGAAGGGTGTCCCTCCCTTTGCCTATACTAGGGAAAAAGTGTTAAGAAAAGCACTGGATATTTGCCTTTGTATCTGGGGAACACACCTGGTTGTGTGGGAACACACTCACTCCTGAGATATCTAAAGGTGAGCTGTCAGGTGGCCTAGTGCCCTGACATTGGCCAGGGGAGCTGGCTGCTTTGGTTTCCAGTTTCCTGGGTCAAAAAATGAGTGAATGTTTCTAGAGAAGTGGAGTATGACTACCTGTGGAACCCCTCTGTTGTTCCCCTCCAAGAGGACCGCCTGGTGTCAAAAAGAGTTCAACACAAAGAGGCTGACCTGGGAAAAGTATGGCCAGGTGAAAGACTGTGACTGTGGGATGGAGGACATCTCTGACAATCCTACAAAGCAGCCCACAACTTTCAATATCTTTCAGGGTCTGAGAGGCAGCATTAGTCAAATGAGAACTTTCCTTTCTTCTCCTGTTCCTTTTCTCTCTCCCTTCTGTTCAGCTCCAAGCCAGAAACCTCATTTAGCAAATTGGCATTGGGAGCGTAAAGCATAAAGCAGGAAAATGGAAAAATCACCCTCCATCCTGATATACGTGGGAAAGAGAAATGGTGTTAAGATCATTCAGATGAAGAATATAAATAACTTTGAGCATTGTATTACATATAATGAAGCATGCCATGATTTATAGAATTGGTCAAAACAAATTGTATATTTTGCAACTATCTGACAAAAGAACATCTAATAAAAGGACACTGTTGCATATTTTATGGTTAGGCATGGATGATATTTATATTCATGATAGTACCTAGATTTGTTAAGTAGGAAAAGTGTGTGGATGAAAGACAAAAGCTGAGGACTTAAAATACTTTGTCTTACTTTAAAAAGAATATTATTTATTCAACTAAATAATATATGTATCTAACAGGTCTGCTTTTCAGTGCAGCATAAGTTCTCTAGAGGAATTTATAATAGCAATGATAATATACAGACAATTCTTAATAACCAATGTCTATAAATACTGTTTTAAGATTGACATTTTTTATTTTATTTAAAAATTGTTATTAGTGCATTATAGTTGTATCTATTATTGGGCTTCATTTGGACACAATGATGCATGCAATAGAATATAATTTTCTCCAATTCAGTCCCTAGGACTTTCCACTTTCTCTTCTCTTATCCCTTCTCTGGTTGCTTTCCTCTACTCTGCTAGTCCTTCTATTTATTTATATTTTTTTAAATTATTGCATTATAGATATTCATTAAGGTGAAATTCACTGTGGCATATTCATTATGTACATAGGATAGTTTGGTCAGGGCACAGGCAAAATTTAGTGTTATATATTCTAGGCTGGATGGGGAGGTATTCTGAGAAAAAAAAAATTGGAATAGGTAGGCTGCCAAAAGTTCATTTCTTGAACCCATACCCAGAAGTCCTCCTATATCTTCAGGGATCTCTCTGGAAACTAAGGCTAGTTCCGATGAAGTTCTCTTTTGCTGATTCCTGAAGTACTAGTTTAGTTCTTCTTTGCCAAGAATGGGAAATTCCACTGGCCTTTTCATAATCTAATTGTTTTTTCAAAACTGTGATAGTCTGTATGACTGTGGATACTGACTCTGTTTTTAAGTGACAAGATAAGGTTGAGTGGATAACCTAGAATAGAAGGCCTGTCACCTACCAGTCACCACAGAACTGAAAGGATGCACTTTTCTTCGCTTTCAGAAAAGGACAGCCATGTGAAGAGCTACATGAGTTTACAGTTTGCATCTGAGGACTTCTAATGTTCCTACCACTGTACGAATTCAGTGGCGAGTCTCAGCAGACGTCAAAAGAAGTTCCTACCTGGACCAAGCTATATCCTGTGCGCTGGACCAGTGCGCGGAGGGCTGCTTCCTTCTGGGTGCCGCTCAATCCATCCCCGGATTTGTGATTTGATTCCATTGAGAGTGATTATCAGCAAAAAATCAGGTTAATTAGGGTAGCTCACTGAAATCAAATTTAAGATAAATTAAGTAAATTACTGTTGCCAAGTCCAAACTTGTCCTTCTGATGAAGAACATCTTTAGGAAACATTCTCTACAAATAAATCATTGAAGTCAAAGCAACTAACAGCCATACACAAAGAAAGTAGGTGACTAAATGTACTCTTTAAGAATAGAGTGCTTTAGGGGCTGGGGTAGTGGCTCAGCGCGTTTGCCTAGCACGTGCGAGGCCCTGGGTTCCCTGCGAGGCCCTGGGTTCCATCCTCAGCACCACATAAAAATAAATAAATAAAATAAATGTATTGTGTCCAACTACAACTAAAAAAAATAAATATTAAAGAAAAGAATAGGGTGCTTTAAAAGGTTCAGTATAGTTGAAACTTAGAAGGTGAAAATGTGTGGTACCCCTTCTCCTGTTAGTATGCAGGTCACTAATTCTCAATCCAGTTACCTTAGGATGTCACCAAATGGTCAAATACAAATGAGTTCACATCAATTAGAAGAATATGAAAATCTGGGCATGGTGTTGTATACTGTAATCCCAGCGACTTAGATGGCTAAGGCAGGAGGATGGAAACTTTGAGGCCAGCCTCAGCAACTTTGCAAGACCTTATCTCAAAGGCAGAAATAAAGAAGGTTGGGGATGTGGCTCAGTGGTAAAGTGACCCTGGGTTCAATCCTCAGTACCAAAAAAAAAAAAAAAAAAAAGGAGAAAAAGAAGAAGAATATGAAGTTTGGTTCTTATAGATGGGGGGAAGAGGGCATTGTGTCTATATCAAATCAGCAAAGACAGGACATCAAAATTCGGAGATTGACTTTCATTTATCTATTGCACATGTTTCCTAAGACACTTGTCTACTTATTTTCCAAAGGTAAACTTTTAGAGGAAAGTGTGCTGGTGACAGATAGATGTACAGAAGCCACATATGGTACATGCCACAGAATGAAAATGTAGCATAGATTTTAACAAAACAAGAATAATGGATTTTTTGGAGGGTGTTTTGGAAGGGTGTTCCAACACCTGGATCATTACAACATACACAACTCAACCCTTTGTATAATCTAGGAAATGATGAAAGTTTATATAGGTCCATGTCTGTGTGCAATTTCAGATTTTGTTGTCTAAACTCCGTTTTGAACCCTATTCCAAACATCATGGTTGTTACTCAAATTCACAGGTTTCCAGGACAAGAATAATGGCTATTCTGAAGGTTTCAGGCTGTAATGGAGTGAGGCTCTAGAGGTTCCTATGTACGTAGAGTGGGCTAGAGTGTAAGCAGTTCAGTGAAGGTTTTATTCTGGGTTTTTACTCTGCTTAATGTGCTCTACGGCCTGGCATAGAGGAGATGTGTTTTACAATTATTTGAACCAAATGGAACCCTAATGTATTTGACTATAGATTCTTTTGAAAAATTTTTATCAAACACACTTCCTATATTATCATCATTTATAAAACAATATATAAACCATTAATAATATAGGAAACTGGGTCAAAAGTTGAGTGACAGAAGAAAAAAGTGAAGCTTCAAGGAATTGTTACTAAAATTATTATTACTTAAGTAATAGAATAGTAATATCACTAGTATTAAGATTATCAATAGTAGCAATAATGCTATTGCTAGTAATAATAGCAATAGGTATTCTATTACTAAGGTGACAGAATAAAAAAGCCTACAAACTAATTCACGGGAATTATTTAGAACATAATATTTTCAACATACTTTAGGAAACCAAAGGGAAACATACAAAATTCCAGAGGAAGAATACTCATAATCTTTATAGGGACAGAACAATGTCATCCTCTGCAGATGAGTATGACCATTTCTTGCGTGTGACCTTTGTGATACTGTTGCTTACTCTTGCCCCAGGTCAACTCACTCATTCTTTTAAGAAGTATTTAGTTAGTTCTGTCTGTATGCTGGCTCCACTCCCTGCCCAGCTTTAGGGCATTGTGCTTCATGGGCAGTCTGTTAACTCAATAAGTTAACATACCAGGTTCAGTGTCTACACTTTGCAAGGTTTTTTTTTTTCTTGTCTTTTTTTCTTTTTTAAAAAATTTTTATTATTAGTTGTTCAAAACATTACATAGCTCTTGACATACCATATTTCATACATTTGATTCAAGTGGGTTATGAACTCCCATTTTTACCCCGTATACAGATTGCAGAATCACATCGGTTTTGAATCTTGCAAAGGACAGATTAGAATTTCTTTGTAATAGTAGTGATTTGATATACATGTAACAACTTGGGTTGGGAAAAGTACCTTTATTGATACATTTAGAGTATAAGTACTTTTTCTATGGATTCTAAAATATAGTGTAAATTGAGACCTGCATTCAGTTTATAATCCTAAAATGCTGGTGAATACAGGCATAAGGATTTCTAGGAGATAATATAAACCTTAAAACAGATAAATAAAACTATGAAATTTTTTGAAGATTTATAAATAAAACTACCTTTAAGACAAATTCTAATTCTTACACTGTTTCCAAATGTTACTAAATTGTTTTTTCATTGGACATTCTCAAACTCTCCCGCTGTGCTGATTTAACTTGCAAGAGAAGGAGGTGGTGGATGAGTGTATGTCTTACAGCCCTTTGAAGGCAAAGTCTACAGTCTTTTGCCAGGTTACAGATTTACACTTTGCTGAACTTCATCTTTTCCATCAAAAGATAACAGTTCATGGTGACACGACAAATTTGCTTTTGCAAAACTTACCTTTCGTTTTTGTTAATAATTACTAAAGGTGATTAAAGGTATTTTGATATCAGAAAGGTCTTTTGATTACATATGAGTTCACTCTGAAGTTATTGAGACAATTTGTGTAACATTTGAATTTTGTCTCAAGTCATTGGAAATCAGGACATGGAAATAAAGTTCAGAATCTGCTAAAGAGGCACTTGAAGGGCTAGGGGTGTAGCTCAGTGGTAGAGTGCTTGCCTAGTATGTATGAGGCCTTGGATTCACTCCCCAGCACTGTAACAACAACCACAAAACAAAACAAAGAAACACTGGATATTCAGTTTTTATTCCTCCAAAACAACTCCCTCTCCCAATGTTGACCAAATCTAAGGGGTAAACTTGAATCACAGATAAATTTTTTTTTTTAAGCAAGTCAAACTTTTGTGAAAAATCTTGGTCAATTTGAAATGAAGGTTTTGCAATACATTTTCTAATTCAGTGCTAGCTGTAAATTTTTAAGATCTGAGACTATTTTGAAATAGTAGTTCCCAATGTAATTTATTGAGGTAACAGCATCCAAACAAAACCTATCCATATGAGGCACTGGAGCTAGAAGAGAGCATTAACAAGTATCTATTACTTATTAATCAAAAAATTGCTAAGTGCCTACCATCTTCCAGGAATTTTGGAGACACTGAAGATGTAGCAGAGAATGAAACAGATCCCTCCCCCAAACTTCTCTGGGAGTTTTATAACAGATGGGGGAAACAATAAGTAATAAGATCAATAAGTAAAATAGAGTGGTGGTATGATATTTTCTGAGGAGAAACAAAATAAAGTGTAGAAAAGGAATATTTACAATGTGTTTGTAGGTGGGGAACAATTAGAAAGTTTGTCCTAATAAAGTGAATTTGGGAAGAGATCTGGGTGAAGAAAGAGACTTATTGGATAGAACATTCTAGGCAGAAAAAGGACTAGGGTGGGAGCATGTTGATGGAATAACAGAGGCCAGTGTGGTAGAAGCTGAGGCTCAGTAAAAGGGAGAGAAGTAGGAGTATAGGTTAGAGAGAAAATCAGACCAGCTCATGGTAGATCCTATCAGTCCCAGTAAGGACTTTGGCTTTGGCTCTTAGACAAGGATCACTGTGACTGTTGTGAATACATGGAAGGGAGTAGAACTGGGCCGGGAACAGTTCTATATTATAGAGAGGCAAGTAATGCAAATACAGAGTCTAGTTCTGATTTTATTTAAAATTTCGCTGTTTCATTCATTATGATTTTTTTTTTGCTTTGGTTTAATTGAAAAGTATTGCCTTAATATATCATTTGTCTATATTACTGAGTTTTTGGGTGTTCCTTTAAATTTCATTCTGGAGATAAACATCTTATTTGCCTTACTTACCTTACTCTAGTTGGTGGAGATGGGAGAGAGAAGCAAAAGATATACCAGAAGCCATTGCTACATCTAGGAAAAAGATGAGAAGGGCTTGTACTTGTGTGGAGACAGTGGTGACTGTGAAAAGTGGACACATTATACTGACTGACTGGATGTGTTGTGTGGGAGGAAATAAGAATCAAGAATGACATTCAGTTTGGGAGGAAGAAAAGCAGGGGCTCCAGTTTGGGCATGTTCACTTTAGTTCCTTTGAGAGGTACATTTGGATAAGTAGATGGCAGGTGGATATGAGTCTGCATTTCTGGGAGAGTCCCAGGAAGGAGAGGCTGACTTTGAGGTTATCCATGCAGAGGTGATATTTAAGCTGTAAAACTGGATGAGATCATCTAAGCACTGAATGTAGAGAATAGGTGAAAGACTGATCTCTGGAGTCCAATTTGTAGAAGTTGGCATGTAAGAAGGAACTAGCAAGGACAATTGAGTGAAATGTCAAAAAAAAAAAAAAAAAAGGAGAAGAACCAATTGAGTGAGATGGTCTGAAAGCCAAGTAATTTTGAGAACAAGTGATTGGCCAGCTGCACAAGTTCTACTAAGTCAAGGAGAAAAGGTCTGAATAGGAATCCAGACCCAGGAACTAGATTTTCAGGGTTTGCATCCTCATTGTGTTCTTACTGAATTCTCCAGGCAGATTTCTTAACCTCTCTGCTCAGCATCCTCAACTGAGGCAATCATAGTACCTCTCTCAGGGTTTCTATGGATATTACATGAGTAATGCATTGAAGGGGTTTTGTAAGAGCCCCTGGCAGATGGGACATGACTGATTGGTGTTAGGCAAAAACATATGACACCAGAAAGAGGAGAAAGAGAGAGGCAATCTCGTCCCCAACTATACAAGGAGCACCTCAACTCTAAATTCAGAGACTC